TAATGTTCTTCTTTAAGGTCCTTCACAAAATATCATTCTCAGGTAACAGGGACATACAATTCGCACAGGAAGGTTCTTGCGATCTGCGTAACCAAACTTGCACAGTGACAACTCATTCTTTTAAGTCAACACTCCGTAAAAACTTCTTCACAGTCATGTATTCTAAAATATGGAATAGCCTACCCCTAGATGTCAGAACTTGCTCTTCGGTTACAAGCTTCAAACGCTCTCTATACAGACTGTTTCACTCTACTGATTATATTAATAAACTATTTACTCCTAGAACGAATCAACTACTAATCTACTACAGCACCTAAAAGACGCACTTCAACACCCTTAGCTATCTAAAAATTATAAATAAACTAGTCGCGTAGATGCATAAAAAGACTTAGTACGGAACATACAGCAATACTTTACCCCTAGAAATAGGACCTGTCACTCTTTGTAACCTTCAAACGCTTGCTATATAAACTGTTTTGTCCCAATGATTATCCCTACCAGAACCCATCACTTATTTCTAAAACGCATCAGTCATTAGAACACTAAAACGCTCAGACTCATTAATACACATTATGACACTAAATAAACTCTAAGACTTCGCATAAATACGTGAAAACACAAGTACAATCTAGATAAATTTTTACTAATGTATGATATACAATTGACATAAACATTTATATATATATATACATTAATATCCTTTTCATGTTCACATACTTTCTCTTTCTGGTATTCTGCTGCTCCTATTCATCTTCTGGTCGAGGTCGAACAACACTGCATCTAAACTGAAATGAAGATGGATTCCAAACCATTTAACTCATAACCACTCAAATTCCATGAACGATCCAATTCTACTATTTGAAAACGCTGGCGAACATGCTGTAAATGAGTATTCATGATCTGAAATGAAGAAGCAACTGGTTTTCAAACAGTTTTCAACATTTTACTCAACTTACGAATACAGTCCTCCATGCAGACACAAATGGCGCAAATGGAGAGCTCTGGAATCGACCTCGGCACCATTTGATGCAGTAAAACAACTTAACATGACCTTATCTAGTTTTCGCCTCCACGATCAAATTTCTTTCCTGTTATAAAACTACGATAAGACTGCTGAAAAATGTAATAAATATATCACTGATCTCAACATAATACATCAATAATCTTTAAGCCAATGGTTCTGTTCACAACAAAGTTATATAGGAGAATTGACTTCAAGCTTTATTTTTCCCATATATCTGTATTACATTCATCTGATGTCTGGGTTTTTTGTTAATGCGAAGACAATATTTCCATATCTCTTTATGTGCTACACAAACAGACTTTATAGCAGACTTTTCCGACTGACTCTAATGTCAGAAAGAACAACCAAACATTAGATTCATCATACATCAAATTAGGTGTAATTTATATAATAACTTATCCATGCCTGTACAATAGGTATGTTCCTGCATAAACAGGAAGAAATATATATTAACTCGATATTTGCTGTAGCCATAATAATCAGTCTAAGAGCCTAACATCATAAAAGGAGGGAGGGTGGCGCTAGCTCATCAGTAGATATGGTGGTGGTCACCATGGTGAATCGCCCCATTCTGCAGGAACAGCAATATGCAATTTAACGGCTCGAGATTTTTATGAGGGCTTAATTCTTTATCTTATAAATTAACTTGCTATCCATTGTCGGATCTTTAAATACCGCTTTACAATGTCTTATCTCATTCATTTTCTAATAACGTCTTTACTTGATCCCCACTATATTCGATTAAACCTAACATTTTATAGCTCTTTATGAATTTGATTCGACTTATTCTATTCCTATTCTCTGTAGGGTACGGTTGTGCACCAAATAGACAAGAAGGTATGAAATAAAAACAACTGGCTTGAAAATAATTGCATTAAAGCCAAAGCGGACATCATGATAGTAAGACATATATGGGTAGCATTATACATTGCAAGTGAACGTTGTCAGCCTAGGGATTAATTACTTTCCCATTCTATTTCCTTTATAAATGCATTTGTTAGTGATACTAGCACTTACTTATTTCATTGCACCTTATTGATTCACCTTATAACTTTAGCTTTTCTAAAACAGCTTTTAATCCCTTGTGAAAGTTGTACTTACCTCAATATTGGCTGGTTAGCGTATGCCTATATCCACGGTTTGATTTCGAAATGATTTCGATTTTCGAGCACTATCTGTTGGGCTTCTGTACGGTTCATTAACTGTACGGGCTGTTTTAACTATTTAGCTGTTTTAACATTATTATCTTATAGACAATCTACGATACTTGTTTATAGCCTTCTTGATCGTGGCTGTTAATGTGGCATGCATTTTCATGTAAATTTATGTTTATATGAAAAAGCACATTTGTCACTCACGTCTCGCAGACCGTTAATGCCCACCTCTTGCGGTGCTGGGTCTCACGCTGTCCCTCGAAGCTTCTCAGAAACGCTTGGTACTAACAGACGCAAAAACCAGAACACAGATTGGCGACTGGAGAATTCTTTATTTTAACACCAACATATAGCCAACTTTACAACTAAGGTCTATGAACAAATATTACAATAATAAATCACGACATTACTTCTGACAGTTTTTTCTAGCTTCTGTCTGAACAGCGACCAATGAGACGATGACTGGCAGATTGATGACCCGCGAAAATTACGGGGAAGTTGGGTTTAAGCAAACAACCATGAATTGTTCGTTCAATCTTCAAATTCATTGACAGCATTAATATTTATAGAAGTCCTACCGGCCAAGCCGATGATTTCGTCTTAAATCGCCTCAAAACGTGGAGTAGGAAGAATAGGTGTCTGATAGTAGCTGACTTTAGTGCCCCCCATATTAATTGGGAGGAATTAACATCAGCTACTTCGTACAATTGTTTCATCAGGGAACTCATACTGGCAGTACTTGAATGCGCACTTTTTCGGCATATGGATGCACTAACACGATACCATCCTGAACATGATCCGTCCACTCTAGACTTGGTGATAACACACCAGAAGGAGGATGCCGGTGACATTGGGTGCGTGGAGCCGCTAGGCAGTATTGACCACATAGTTATTACTTATATGTTTAGGATTCAGGCTGTCATACATCGGTCAAAAGCTGTTCGCACAAACGTTTGGAAAGCGAATATACCTACAATCCCAATTGCAGCAACCCTAGCTGACTGGTCTTTTAATACACACCAGGCTGTCGAGGTGGCTTGGATGGGATTTAGGAACACACTAGAGTGCGTCACTTCACCCTTTGCACCTCGAAAACTATCTCATAAACCATCTTGGATTATCAATAAAATAAGGTGGTTACTAAGAACTTATGGGACCGGTCCGCTGTGACTGGGAGGGGTGAGTTTCGAGAGGAATACAGCAAAGTTCGAAACCTTTGTAAGTATGAGATTGACAAAAGTTGTACAGAGTATGAAACAGTTGGTACTGGATTGTGTGCATTATCCAAATAGAATGTACTCGTGTATCAAACGCAGGACTAAAAATAGCAGTGGGATACCGTCCCTCATTGGTAACACAGGAGAGGCTGCCGAGTCAGACGAAACAAAAGCTGAGAAGCTTTCCGAATACTTTTGCAATGTTCTCTCGCCCAGTCGTACCACTCAGCGGGTGTAGCGAGGTAACTGATGTAGTTCCTAAATGCACCCAATTGTGGTAGATGATGCGGTGGTTCTGAAACTAATGTCTAGGTTGAACCCGGGTAAATCACCTGGACCAGACGGACTTCACCCTAGATCGCTAATCTCCATGGCGGATATAATTTTTTTCAGATGCCTCTGACCCAGGCTAGGCTACTCAGGGACTGGAAAGATGCTTTTATAAGCCCCATTTTCAAAGATGGGAACAGGCAGTCAGTATCTGACTACCGGCCTGTAAGTCTGACTTGCATTATAGCAAAGTTGTTAGAAAGACTCCTTAGGGATCAGCTCTTAGCTCATATGGAAAAACATGGCTTACTGGCAGTGGAACAGAATAGATTCCGACCAGGATTGGAAGACTGGGTCAAGGCCAGGGACAAAGCCCATCTAATAGACGTTGTATTGATCGATCTTAGTAGAGCATTCGATAAGGTATCCCATTTAGGTCTTCTTAGTAAACTTAAACATTTTTGATCAGACCAACGCTTATGTGAGTGGTTTAGTGACTACCTGACGGATAGGAAGCAGAAGGTAGGGTTAATGGTGTGCTGTCTGAGTGGAAAGCAGTGCCAAGTGGAGTACCTCGGGGAACTGCGCTTGGCCCCCTGCTATTCCTATTATACGTAAATGAGGTGCCAAAAATTCACGTCGTACTTCATGGGGGACACAGAACTCCCAGATGTTAGGGATTAAGAGGACCTAGGAATTATTGTTAGCCATTACTTAAAAACAACGTCAAACTGTAATCGAGCCGCAGCTAAGGCTTTTCGAATGCTATGGGCACTTCGAAGGGCTTTCAAACGATTAGACGAAGGCATGTTCCAAGTACTCTATGGAACATATGCCAGGACTCATATAGAGTACTGCACACAAGCGGCGAGTCCACGTTTCAAAAAGGAGGCACATACCCTGGAAAGAGTAAAGAGGGTAGGAACGAAATTAGTTAGTGGTATCTCACATCTTCCTTATGACATGAGGATGGAGCATTTAAATCTCTTCCCATAATCATACCGAAGGAGAGGCGACTTAATTTTGTCTTACCGTATATCCAAGGGTGATTTAGGGATTGTCCTTTCAAACCTTTTCTCTCCATGCAGGATACATTTACGGGGTCACCAGAAGAATGTTCTCAAACTGAGGTCGAATAAAATACTGTTGGAGTTTAGATTCTCTCACAGAGTGGTCAACGACTGGAACTCTTTACCTGATTCACTAGTAACAGCTCCATCGGTGAACGCTTTCAAGGAGAAACTGGATCTCTGCAGAGATATATATCGCGAGGATTAACATGGGCAATAGGAGCCTTCTATCATTATGATCTGAATCTGAAGAAGGCTATCCAATGGGCGGTTCATAGGAAAACTTGCGTTGCAGCTGTCTGTAGTGATGCGTCAATTCGTTTGTCGATAGACAGCATGGTTGGGAGGTTTTTTAATGATCTGATATCCATAATTGTGGATATCAACAGAGATAATAGCTTTTATGATCATCAATATGAAGCTATTAAGATTGTCAAGGCAGAAACAGATGAACTTCACGATAGCTTACGTAAATTGAGCTGGTTTTACCATCACTTGAGGACAAAAATTCTTTTTCACAAAGTATCTTGCGCTCACATGGTGAATAATCGTGGAGTTCGGTATTTCTCAATGGGATACTTTAAATTCAAAATGCCCACTAGTTCAATGCAACGTAATTATATTGAGTTCTTTAGATTATTGGAGAAAAATCCTCTGCTTATTGCTGAATTGTTGCACTATTACAAATTAAACATTCAGATCTTAGAACATATCGCGCGTTCTGTGTGTTTGATTACTTGCACTTATCCTCTGAACTCATGCAACCAACTGGTTCAACTCGCAATTGCTCACTATCTGCAGCAGTGCCTAAATGTTGTGAAATGTGCAGTTTACTCCAAGTCAGAGATTTTAAACTTAGTACATTTATTCATATTTTGTTCCACTGGAGTTCGGTCGTTTTTAAATTCACTTCTGCAAAACATAATCTTTAGGCTTACCAACAATGATCCGTGCTTACCGTTTAATATTCTGGAATCCTCTCGAGAGAAAATGAAAAGTAGCACTGATTCCTCGGTTCCAAGTTTTTTTGCGATTCTCGTCAATATCATTATTGATAGTTTGACAGATAACATGCTACTGTTTCCTCATTCGGTTCTTGTTCTGTTGGGCAATATACGTCATATTTGGTCTAATGCCAAATTACCACAAGAAAATATTTTGTGTGCCTGTGTACAATTTGTCTTCAAGGATTTTATTGGGTCTGCTTTTGGTGAGCCTGAACTATTCAATATCACCCTTGATATTATTCCATTTCGCAGGATATTCCTGGTTCTAAAAGAAACAGTTGAAGTACGTTTCATTTGTTCATGCAAATTAGTGTGATATTTATTCTGGAGGCTTAAGAGTTGATAGGTTTTTAATAAATATGGGTGAATGAGCTCATCGCAGATAGATAAGGGTACATTTTTGTGCATAATAGTTTATTAATAAAATGTCTAATTAAAAAATTTAAATGATTTTGAGATTCCCCATTATGTAATCTTATCTAATAAATGAATGTCCAGGGCTAAAGGGTGTATGAAGACACGTTTGACTGTGATATAGTCTATGCGCTGAATTGATTTCAGCCAAGGAAACATCAAAACTGGAAAAACTGGGAGTTCGTTTCGTCAGTCTGGAACTCCAACAGTTTGCATTAAATATCTCCTAAAGACCATCTTAGTGCTTATAGAATATTACTAATTTCTCATGTGCTTTTGCGATCGTCTTCTCAGGCGTGTTATATATAGCCGCGAAATGAGTAAGTATCAGTGAGCAGACTAGATATTCGTGATACTTTATCTCAGCATTCTTTTCACAGTCAGACGCTACCAGAAACTGGACTAATAAAGGTGAATACTGTTGTTAAGCTAGAAAATGCGAGGAACGTCAAACATTAGTAACTTTCTGTTTTGGAGAATATTTCAAAGCGATAATGTATTCGGTAAATCTTGCTCGAATCTCACGCTGTAGTTTTTCATTTTTCTAAAGTGTAATCAAGCACTAGATAACTATAGGACTCAAGTTTTATCGAAAGCGTGTTAGTTGAACTGACTTGTCCTTTGTTATCCCAGAAACATGTTTTAGCCTATGAATTGGAACAGTTGCCAAACATTGACTTTTAGCGTAAGTGATCTTATCAGCGATTTTTGATCACCACGAGTGAGTGCTTTTGATCTTAATCTTGAGATAATCTGCTCAGCTGATGAGCTGTAAAACATGTTTATCCCATTAGGGTAAACAGTTAGTGAGCAGAAATGAGAGTGCAGTTTTGAGCTAGATGATGTGTTCGTGTCTCGACAGTTTATTTGAAGCCTGCATTCCTAGTGTTAATATTAATAAGCATAGCTCCCGTTGAGTGATTCCTTTTATCAAGTTTAATTGGCTACATGTTTTTTTCCATCCATTTCGCTTCATTTCCTATCACTTCAGGTGGAGTTTCTAATCAAACCGAGTATACAGATTTTTGTTTCTTAGTGATTTTCAACCCAATCAAAATGGTTGGTCTACTGTCATTTTGTGGAAGTTTCGGAAATTCAGTGCACTCTGGTTTCTGATTTCATTTCGCTAAATGCCTTTAGGGCTGTTTCCATATTGATCTAGATATGCCAGCAAGTTGAAAATCTGTATCATGCTTTGGTATATCAGTCCAGTGTGTATTCACTTAGAGACATGGAGTTCTCATTATTAAACTCAATATGAAGGCTTTTCAGATATACAGTTTCACGTCTACTGAGGTGCAAATACATGCATATTTCAATCTTTATCACGCGTTCTAATGATGTTTCATCTCATGGTAATCCACTTACGCCTTTGGGATTATCAGGCGTCTTCATAATGTGATTTTGGAGTGAAGCTGAAAGTGATACTCAGTATCAATGATTCTTAGTCAAGCTGTCTTTCTGTATCGACACTGTATTAAAAATTTCTACCAATGTGACTGTACAGAAATTTGAACGTTGACGACAAGAGCAAAAACTTCAAGAAAAACCTATCGACCATGCTTTTCAGATTGCAGTTGCGAAATCACAGAGTGTGATTGCTAATAATCATGTTGAAATATCCTGTTACGTGGTTATCTTTGCAAAAAACTGGTCATCGTTATTCGATAGCGTCAGAAAAATTGTACTGAAAAAGCTCCGTATCCAGAAAGCGTTGACACCAGACGAAATGCATACTTTGTACAGGCTGTTTATTTCACTGTCACCTCTCTGTAATAAAAAATATCATTTTAAGAGCATTCGTCACTCTTGTTAAATCAACAATTCAATCTGAGTCAGTTATAAGCACATATGTTTAAATATTCTGTTGCTTTTTTTGACAAACTTCATTTAAGAAATAAAGACTAGTGTACATCCCGTTAACTGCGCTCATGTATTTTATGAGTCTTCTTTGTATCGCAGCATTGGTTTTGCACGCCGTATGTGTTTATACATAAAAAAGCATATTACTTAAAAGAACGAAAGCAGTAAAAGTCTTATACAGGAACTGTCAACATAACATAGGAGTAAGATGTGATCCTGCTGTGAAGCGAAATTTGATTATGGAAAAGTCGATTATCATGAAAATTTATAATGTATCTGTTTCCTTGAACCGTTTTATTTTATGAATTTGCCACAGTTTTATTTTTTAAGTTTTCAAAAAATGTTCTTGTATCATTGGATTTTGTTTTATTGGGTTTTAGATTTTTCCTTCATTACTTCTCGAGGGTGATAACTCTGTGTTATCCAATAACGTAGCTAGTCAAAAAGCTCAACAAGTAAATGCGATGATTGTGCACAGATTAAAGTTGAACAGATAAAAACATTCACCAAGTTCATATTTGGTGCTGCTGATTCCATGTCCTTTCCAGGTAGTTTGCTAGGAGAGAATGTATCCGAGAATATGTCACTCAATAAGAATATTTCTCAGTTTGATGAGTTAAATGATGACATTTCAACGAGTTCATTTAACGATGGCGTCATTTCTGTAACTTCTAATGATTTGAATATTTTGGTAAGTAATTTACTACTAGAGGGTTTTTTTCCTGCACTTCCCATCTGTTTACTGTTGACTTTAAAGCTGAGTAATTTGTTTGTATCTCTCTGTAAACATCCTTAAGCTGTTTTATATATCACGATTATGAAGTATCAACTGATGCCATCTATTCAGTACTATTATCATATAATAGGTATGCATGAATTACGGAAATCTGTGATTGCGAGCCTAATTATGTTTCAAATAACTTGAGATAGTCCTCAGTGATTGAATTCCTACATTTTTTTGTGTGTCTGTAGTATTTAAATAAGCTGTCAACTTAAATTGACTGCTTAGATTGAACTCACTATTTCCCTTACAATTTACTTACCTGCATAAAAATTTTCTTGAGGTCTGTCAGATTTTAACTGTACATATTCCACAAACACCACTCAGTGTTTGAATTTTAAGTTACATTTAGTGAACCACGTGAGAATTCCCAATATTTCTCATCATGGTGATGATTGGCATTACATTATTTGAAAAAGAGAATTTCTCAAATACTTTTCGCAGTAAAATGATGATATATGTGGATTGAAAAATGTGTTATTTCTAAATTTCTTAGTCTTCTTATCACTACAACATACTATAATCGTTAGTAGAACACTTTTCGTAGACTTTCAATCATATCACGAACGTTTCAATACCTTAAAGCTTTAAGTAGTAGATTTTTTAACTAATAAAATCAAGTGTGGTCTATACATAGATGTAGTGCACTTGCATCATTGCATGGATTTTCAAGGGTTCATCACGTTTTGATAGGTGTGTGCAAAGGGAAAACAGAAAAAACTGAACTTTGTTACCTAAAATAAATTTACTTATTTCCGATATTATATTATTTAAACACTAAAAACTTGGTACTATATGGCACCAAGAAGATGAGCCGCACAACAATAATGAAACAACATATGGAATAAAAAGGTAAAAATATGGGTAGAGAACGGATAAAGTACTTCATCTGGGAGGAAAGTAGTCATATTTAACAAGTTCAAACAGCATTCTACAGTTATTGTCGGAAAGGGAAGAAAGAAGGAAATTGCAGTACGGTCGCCATTGATTGCTATTCTTGGCCATATCTGATAACTTTTCTAGCCACCTATTCAAGCTTTCTCTCGAACTCCAACCAGGGAGTCGTGACACACTAACCGATGCTAAGCTAGCGCAAATATCCTTCATCTCACGACGCCACGTTTTGGGCTGACCATCTCTTCTCTTTTTCCATCCTGTCCAAGGGCTAGCGAACAGAGACTTTTATGGAAGCCTCTAGGATGACATCCGTAACACATGTCTAATCCATCAAAGCCGGTGTTCCCAGATAACAGCACTCGACGAGTGGTCGTCTCCACTGTGTCAAAACACACGCCGCTGGACCTCAGAATTACTCACGCGACTATGCCATCGAACGTAAGCAATCCTGCGAGACAGCGATGATCAAATGCACAGAGTCGTTGCACTTCCTCAGATCGAAAAGGCCAGGTTTCATAGGCGTATGGATTCTGAAGCCCATTTAACCCAAAGTAACTGCTTTAGTCTTACCGCTATCCCAACAGCCTTCTTGACTTGGTAGGACCTGCAGGAACATAAGTCCCAGCCGGTGTAGCTTGTCAGGTCACTGCAGTATTCAAACCCGACCACCAAGACAAGGTAGCAGTTGTTTGCCGGGGAGGTTTGTACTTCAGTTAAAGACATTGTGAATCTATACAAATAGCTTTTTGCATTTGTTGTGAGTAACTCTTAGGTGAATTGATCATACAAAGCTGATAAACTAGTATGATAATTACTAGACAAATTAAGCTTAGACATTACTAGTTTTCGTAGTTCAATACCCTCGGTGGGCATTCTATTCTTTATTTGACTAGTGAGCTTCAGTTTCTCCTCCTGTTTTTGTTACCTGTATTCTTTTACTAATTAATACCAAAGTTATTTATATCATGCAGTTAAATATACAATGACGTTTCAATTTTGTTACTATTTATAATTTTTTTTGAAGTGGTTTTGTATTCATTATTCTAATTAATACTGAAACGCTTGTGAAAAGAAGTAGAGAATAGGAAAGTGAATCACATGAATGGATTATTTTTATACATGAAATTTTTTTTAAAGAAAAGAGTTATTTTGTCGTTGTTTTTTTTCAATTACCTTATTTGTATTCTCCTCAATTTCTTAGTGTAATTCTTATCGTTTGACTGCGAAGCTTATTATTCACTCTCTTGCCTGAATGCCTTTGTGTAGTATTTATGATTTTATCCAGGTGTTAGAAAAGGACATCTACAGAAGACCGATAATCCAAGTTTCTTAGTTCCTGGTGCTCATCAGATGGCTGTCTTTGGACAGTTTTCTAATTAAGTAAATACTAACCACACCTTTTACGCAGCATCACAGACTAACACGAAGGATTGTAATAGTAGTAGTGTTGTACTACTAAAATAAGTGGAATTTAGACACCATCAAACAGATAGTAGTAGTGCTGTAGTATTAGAAGCATTGTGTGTAAACCCACAACGTAGTTAATTTATATATTTATGAATCAAACCCAGATAATACAGCATTAATAAACCTACATTTAGACATCGTCAGCTAAATGGGAACAACTAATAGAATTCGAATGATAAATCAGATTATCACGTGCACTTTTATACTTGAATAGAAGTCAAACAAACTAGCTCAAATGACTCTTTGTATCACGAACACATTGAACGACGTACGAATTTAAGAATATTTACCGATGAGTACAACAATCCATATTCTCTCCATAGTACAGAGCTAAGTCATCCAGTAGTGAAGTTAGAAGCGCTAATACCAAACTTCTCAGGCCATTCCCAGTCTCTTATAGACTGAGTTACGCGATCACCAGATTGTAACCAACGTATTACTTGTCTATAACTTGAGTGTATTGATGGGAATCTGTCATTTATATTTGCATTATAATCATCGACACTCCTCTGACCAATGTGACACACTGTAGCTTGATACTCTAACTTGTATTAGCGTCTAATTTCTCACACATATACACATATTACGATTTTTGGAAAGCGTTGTATCTCCTGCTGTATTTCATGCCGTTGGGGGCTTATTACCATTCAGTCTAAAGTTAAATATAGGCAATATGTAAAAGTAAAACATATTTTAAGTTTATAATCAAATGAAAGTGTGAAAAATATTTTTTCAGTTTACAGTCACCATATTTAGGTTAAAGGTTTCTCACCATAGAGGCGATTATGCATTTTGTAATCTTTACTAGTGCTTTATTCGAGATTAAATGCTCAACTTCGTTTGACCCATTTCTAATATATTAATATGAATTGGTTATCATCCTGTGGACAACCTCCAAAAAATCGTGAACTAAGTGAGAGTAGTAAAGTTTCTGACTTCAGCATTGTAACCTCAGGTTCTTATTTTCAAGTGAACATGGATTTCTTCACGGTTGAGGATACAGTTTTCTATTGAGTACAGACATTTAATGAGCTTGGGTTCAGGGCTCCTTGTCTATTGTAACCTAACGTCTGCCCCGAAAAAGTTGTTCTTTGAGAGAGACCTCCTATGATTGAGCTAAACTTTCGCCAGTTTGTTTAAAGAATTGTATACTACCTTTCATGGAACAGTAGTATAGTGAACCTATATCGTTAGTTGATCAGTTTTTCCCTTGATATTTGATCCTTAGTCTTTTGTGACTGAATCAAATTTCTGACAAAACAAACTGGCGATAACCACTTAAATTTAAAGTATTTAAGTTAACCTTGCGTTTCCCGTTAAAAGAGTCTATATTGGACCGGAATGTTTGGTACCCGTTGATATGTAGGTTCCTTGTACGGACACTTCAATGACGTCTGAGGACTGACATGATGTGAATTGAGACCTAACATTTGGGTCCAAAGTAACCAATCAACGGTGAATGCAAAATTAACTTAAACAAATGCTAACTGATACCCATTGCACAACAGGTGGTTCTCATGTCCCGAGTGACCTGGTAGATTATGCTTTGGCATTTGAAACTGCGGGTGCTAGGTTTGAGTCTCGGTGGAACAACGTCACTTTGTGAAGTGACGAGTTCCAAATAAGGCGGACTGTGCACCCTGGATTCCACCAATCAACTAAAGATATTTAATAAGTGTCGTTGATGGTAATGAGGAGGACAGGCCTTTTAAGAGTACATACAATGCTTATTAGGAGAAAATCTATAATGGGCATTGACAAAAAGTTTTTCATTACTTTTCCATTATAGATTGGTTGTATTCGTATTCTTTTGAAAACAAAACCCAATTCTGATCCACTTCTTAAATTGGTCGATCGTTTACCCTCTCAAGTACCTGGTGCTACGATCGGAGTGAAACAGTCTTTTGATAATACTTTGAATGCATCAGATTCAGGTAGGTTTTTCCCCATTTTACATTAAAAAAATCATTTTAACTACAAAAATGCAGTTTTGTCACATTTCTGTGATGTATGTATTTCGTAGTTTCAATTCTAACACAGTATTACGTGCTTAATAAACGGAAGTAACAAAGATCAGGTCATTCTATACAGTACCTGAGTGATTTAATCACCTGCTGTTTAGGCCCCTAAGAAGTAAACTTGAAGTAGGTAGAGATTACTAACGTAGTACGTGAGAAATTCCCACAGAAATTTCCAAGTTATCATACTTCACAAAATAAGATAGAAAAAGTGAATGGTGTCAAGTCAGTTCTTGTATTATTCTTCAGGGACATGGCGCATTACCGAAAGCATTTTCAACAGCCTGCTGAAGACTCTTTTATCAACAGCTGCCTTCGATCCATACTGAAAGCATTATCAGTAAAGAACTCTGGGAATGAATTAACCAATAACCTATTATTGCTTAACAAATATGCTGCGGGAAATAGAGGTGGATTAGATGCACACTGAGGAGGAGACCATTGAGTGAGGTCACGCATCAGGTGTTCAAGTAGAAGCCGACTACCAACAACGAGGAGTTGGGCGTGTAACGGTGACATGGAGAGGGTTACAGCTTATGGGCAATTGTGGAGCCAGCTAAAGAGGACTGCAGAGAACACGATCAAATAGTGATATAAACTCTGTATTCCACTCAGAGCACGAAGAAATAATAATCAATGATAAAGTAATCCAAAGAAACCTTTTTAACCATAGGTAAGAAAAAAGTAGACCAGAGAGTTCGGTGGTGGGATGATACCTTTTGGATAAAGATAGATACACAAAGTTGTTGCACCTGTGGCCTCGATTTCGCTTGTATTACGGTTACTTACTATAAGCACACAGACGAATTTACTTATTTGAACTTTATTAGTGGTGATTCAGAGCAGGAAAGTACACACTGCGTCGGTGGCACAGTGGTTAGGACTCTCGCCGACCATGCACATGGTACGGGGTTCGACCCCCTACCGACGCACACCTGATATCAATGGTTGGCCTGCAAAATTCGGGCTACTGATATCACATGCTGAGAATTCCATACTTGTACCGGAAATACGGTGTAATAAAAAAAAACTTAATGGTGCCTTAGCCACGGAATAAGAAGTACATATTCTGACTACTGAATATATGAAGAAATGTGTAAACTGAAACTTACATTGCAAGTAAACAACGATCCGGAGAACTTCTAAACAAAGTTTATGTCGAGATCTAGAGATGGAGTACTAATAGATAACACACATCAAAAATATTATGTCAGATTGTGCGTCGGTAATTCAGTTGTAGAATACTTGCCAGTCACCCATGTGGTGGGAGGTTTGATCCTCTGCCACCAACGCCCTCTTAAATTTCTTAGCTGGTAGAGAGGAAAGGTTGGGTGTCAGGCTGGGAACCCTTCCCCGTAAAAGATAAACATCACTACTACCAAAACTTCAAAGCGCAAGCTTGAAACCCTGTATTCCATTTGGGACGTAAAGGAATAAATTGAAACAGGTGAATGTGTCAAATTAAGGTTCCCTGGGGACCTTGCAGCTAACATCCTAGAATGTCAGCTAAACAGACCGGTTTAGAGAACATCCTCTTTTTCTTCCGAGTAAAACAGGGATTCAAGCTTTGAAGTTTCATTGTCAGTGGCATTACTTTTTTTACGGGGTGAGTTGCTGGCATCACACCCAATCTTACTTTTTTTCCTGTCTTACTACCGGATAGTAAAGTAGGTGAGGTCGATTGGAAATCGAACCCGAACTTCCTGTGTGGATGGCGATCACCTTGTCACTGGACTACCAACGTGTTCTTTCAAGCAAATCGTTACTACCTCAATGAGTCAAGGATGAATTGTCTACAGTGACGACGGCCTCATCAATTTGCATTTGACTTCAGCTCCTTTTGTGAAGTTAGTTGCACAGGCCGTATTCATAGGGCTTTATCTATGCCCCTCACCGTGTAAACATGTAGCGATATGATTGGTTGAAGAGGTAACTAGCACAGTGTCATTTCACTCGGTGTATGGATAGTGGGCATTAAATTAAACCATAACAGGTATTTTTAATAATTTTCCAAAATCCTAGTTACTTATCAGGAGAAATTCTATCACTTCTATCGGTGGCCATGTGCGTCGGTGGCACAGCGGTTAGGATGTTCGCCGACCATGCACATGGTCCGGGGTTCGATCCCCGACCGACGCACTCCTTAACCTCACTAAGCCGAAATAATGCTAGTAGAGAGGAAAGGTTGGGCATGAGGCTAGCAACCTCATTCTGCAAAATTGAACACTGCTACAGAAACTTCAAGCCACTAGCTTTTGAAGCCTTATGTTCCACTGGGAACGTGAAGGAAAAACTAACTAAACTCTATCGGTGGCCAAATTTGTAGTAATCAATACCAGAAGACTAATTACTATGTTAACCTCGGCTCGCAGTAAGACCAATATCGCCTCAATAAATATTTATAATTAACACATTGAATTCATGTCTCGTATTTTTCTCGCTTCTCTTGGTTTACTGACAAGCATTTGTTAGTAGACGTTCACTATTTCATGACCTGTCTTATTTAGTCTATTACTGTTAAATTTACGTAATACTTTTCACATTCAGTATTGTATGCATACAATCCTTTTCTTTCTGTCATATAAAATTCTAATCGTTCGCTATAATCACTTTGTTTATACCACATTATTATTACTATTATTTTATTGTGATCTTTATTTGCCATCCTCTGAACTTATTTGTAGTATGCTGCACTTGTGTTGTTCATACTTTCTCCGATACTACTACTGATTACAAATCACTTCTTGAAACTTATAATTTTATTGATCGTAAATCCACAAACACCCCACTGAATTATTTAATGTCATATTCTTATCGACCATACATTTTTATAAGTAGTTAAAGGATAATCGAAGCTAGCAGACTATTATTCTATCTTGTGTGTGTGTGTGTGGCTATTAGTCTGGTAAATGAAAAATCTAATCCAGATAATTAAGCACTAGACAGTTGTTACATTCTAATTTGGGACTCTTCAGCAGTAAGCCCTCTCGTAGATCGAACCTTAAGGTTACGAGGCCAAGCTTGTTGACCATTCAGCTATTTGGTCTGGAATCCATTTGTCTCCTCTTAATTGAGTCACTGTTTTCAAATATCCAGCACACATTAGTATTTTTGATGTGAACTATTGTAAATGACAAAATTATTACCCATATAAGATGGAAAAAATCAGGTTTCGTAATAGTTCTTTCTAAAGTAACCATAATAATCGTATTTTTCACCAGTAGGGTGCAGCAGGTCGGGTGTGAGGACAAATACTCGCCGAAGACATTATCTGGGGTCGCGCTATGTCGTAAATTGGCAGAAGTTGGAATTCATGGGGTGGCCATTGGATCGGGTCCCAGTGGCTTAATGGTATACGAGCTCGCCTTGCAACCAGAAGGTCCTGGATTCGAGCCCCGGTGGGTGCGTACTGCTGAAGAGTCCCAAACTAGGACGAAATAACTGTCCAGTACTCCAAGGTTTACCAATTGTTCTGTAACTAATGTCAGCTCATAATGAAATCTTGTACCAATCCTACTTTTTATTTGTTACACCGGGCTTTTCACGGATATTGAAACTGTAGAAAACGAAAGACTTTATAAAGGAATGTTTATTTGGGGATTGGTATCTCTATATAGCCAAAATATGTATACCTTATCTTCAACGCAACATTTACAAAGATCTTAGTGTTGCGGTACTCATGGACTTCATGTTGTGTTTCTTTGTGTTCCTTTCACGCCTCCTATCTATCTCCAAAACGCTGTATCATCATTTGCCTTCTCTAAAATCAAATGTGTCTCCCAGCTATTTGATGTTTTTATGCCGATGGACGTCCCTTCACATACTACTGATAAATCTTACCAGTAGCACTCGCCACAATATGGCATCAAAATCACTGTCCAGTGGTCGACAGTAGAATATCTGTCTGTCACTAAATGATATCTTTGGTCCTTTCGAATGATACATATGACATGGTTCGGGTGTTATTCTTGATTTCTGCATTTCTCTATGTGAATTGAAAAGTGTGCTTTACTAAAGTAAAACTGAACATTCTTTTCCCTTAAGTTTTTATTACTGCTTAGACTGTTGCTTTTATGTATTGGGTGATGATTGATGGGGTTTTTAAACTGATTTATAGTCCACTCGTTCCTAGTATATTCCATGGTTTTTCGGATTAATGTACAAACACGTTGGGTGACATGAGCAAACAATGTAGTAACAACCTACGCTACAAATATTCTTATATTTCAATGAAATAATCTATTCATTAGTTTGGCTTAAAAGTCGTAAAACTTTGTCATTTATTGTTGGCAGCGAAGTAGTTACGTCCCCAACTAGATCAAGACACCTAGTCCCTATTTAAAGAAGAAGTAGCGAAACGAGTATATGAGGTCTACCGCAAGATTCCTCCTGAGGAAATTTGGGACGGTATACACTAAGCTGTAGACACAGTCGTAAAGGCTGTTGATAAGCTAAAACCAAAAGTTAGTGAGAGACAGTGGATTTCTACGACTTCACCCAAAGCTCCGAATACGATGAGGAGCGAAAGCTGCTCAAACGCAAACTAACAAGAAGTCTTCGCAACGACCATGAACAGTGGTGGCCGACAATAGCGAAAAAGATGGAAGAGGTATCAGCGTTAGGTAACACCAGACAGATATTTAGACTTATCAGGGAAACAGGTGGTAAAAGGTAGGCGATAAAGGAAACAATCTCTGAGGGAAATGGCACCATAATTAGCTCCCAGGATAGACGACTGGAACGCTGGAAAGAACACTTTAAGGAGCAGTTTAATTAGCCTACAGCCATGCCTAACCTACGGAGCATGCAATGCCTCTCTGAATGGGATATAGACACAGGTCCTCCGTCCTTAACTGAGGTTACTAATCTGAAAGGAGGCAAAGCAGCGGGACCTGATGGAATGACTCCAGAGGTATTTAAGTACGGTGGAGACAGTTTACTGTCTGCGTTAACTGAGGTACTAGGTATAGTCCGGGAATCAGAGGAAGTCCCGTCGGGTTGGTGTAAGTCATTAATTATCCCGACATACAGGAAGCGAGACAAGTCTTCCTGTGATAACCACAGGGGGATCAGCTTGACTGATATGGTATATAAAGTTCTAGGATCAATAATCATGCGTAGACTAAACGGTCCACAGGAGAAACAAATACGAGAGAACCAGACGGGTTTCAGATCAGGAAGAGGATGTATTGATCATATCTTCACCCTTCGACAGATTCTGGAACATAGGCATACTTACCGTCGGTGACCAACAATTGTTATATTTCGTGACCTGAGAGCGGAATTCGATTTCGTCGACTGAGGGGCACTGTGGCGATGCCTAGCTGTAAAGGGAATGATGAGAAAATACATCGTGCTGATCAAGTCACTCTACTCACATTCAGCCAGGTAAGAGCCTACGGAAAGTTGTCATCTGAAGTGGTGACAATCAGTGGTGTCCGTCAGTGGGGATGCCCATTGTTCCCATTTCTGTTCAATCTCATCAGAGATGTACTAGTGGAGTTAACTCTAACTGACTTCAGCGACTCAGAGATTGACTTGTTACCACCAGGGAGTAATCTTGTTGACGCAGAATATTCAGATGATATAGTCCTTCTAGGTAAAGACCCAGACAAAATCTAATTGAGTCTTCTGAACGCCTTAAATGTTTGGCATGCGATTTTTCCCTGGTAGAATGGAATATGATTCTATCGGACTGGACTACATCAACTCCTAGCTTAAGGATGGGTAGGAGGGAAGTGGTAAAGTGTGTTGACCACTTATTTGGGAAGTTGCATCAAGCCAACGCCAGCAGGTTAATCGCTGACGAACTCTCAGCACGGATACAGAAGGCTCGTTTGACATATGCCAACTTATTCCATCTCTGATGTAGACGTCATATACGGCTATCGATCAAAGGGTGTGTGTACTGCTCAGCAGTCTGCTCTGTCCTCCTTTATGACTGTGAGGTGTGGTTATTGAAAGTGGAAGAAATGAAAAAGCCGGCTACGTGTCTTTCATAGTGTGTGTGTGCGTTCTATTTCCCATGTTAATTGGTGTAACAAGGTGAGCAATATTGATGTTAGACTTCGGTCGAGTGCTAGTTGAGGAGGAGAAATCAATAGACGAGGTGAAGTTACATCGACTGAGTTGGTTAGGACATGTGTTAAGCATGTCTAGCCGTCACCTTCCTCGACAGTCAATGTTAGCTGACACAGGGCATAGTATCAGGTTGGAATAGGGGTGGTAGTGGTCGAATTAAAACATGGCTTTATCAGTCAATGAAATCCACAACATTTAGTTTAAGCCAACCAATCACGTCGGGAGGTGTAGATTTCCTGGTTGAGGTCTTCAGGGTGGTAAGAACCAATGATTGCTGGAGATATTTGGTGATATGACTCAAACTCATCGTTCTGAATGACTAGCGTAGATGTATCCACTCCTTGTGATTTATAATATTCAATAGAAATTCACTTATCTTCCATATTACTATTCTTTTTGCGTCATATATCCGTTTATTACTTCTCCTTCGAATCTTGTTTTACTCTCTTCTCTTGCTTTGTGTGATAAAAGGAGGGGTGTGTGTGTGTGTGTGGCAACTCAAACTGATGCACATCTATGCAAAGTGCTATCAGTCAGTTTTCATTTATTCATCCATTTTGCTTCTACTACGAAATGGTGATTACATATGTATATGTATATATATATTTCAGATGTGAATACAATATCTGCTGTGTTGGTTGATGTATCAGAAAATAATATGGCCAAAACAATAACTCGTGAAATTAGTCGATCAAATAACAAGATGCCATCATCATTATCACCACAAAGACGACGTAGTCGTTCATTAAATCGTTTATTCAGCATGAAGCATAAATCTGTTAGTCATGCTGAAGAAATACATACACTGAATAATAATGTTGCTGTCGCCACTGCTTATACTACAAGTGGACAAAGTTCTATCCATCGAAGAAAAGATATGCGGTCTGATAATAGCGAGAATTCAGAAATTGTTTATTTATTCGACTTAAATTCTACCTATCATGATAATAATAGTCATAATGACCATGATAATTTACTTCCTGACGCTGGAATGAAAAGAAAATGGAGATTTATGGTTAATACACATAAAAATGATCATGAAAAATTGAATAGTTCTGTTGTCAAATCGACTTGTTCATATGATGGTGATAATGTTACAATGAATCACAATTATTCAAATGTAATTATAAAAAGTCAGCTGAATGGCTTTAGTCCTGGTGATTGTAGTTTCGAAGGTGCTTGTGCTGGTGGTAGTGGTAGTGTGATTAGTGGCACTGATGAGTCGATGAGTAGATCAAGCTGTGAACATCATCATCATCATTCCATCGATGAAAGTCATACAACAGCAAAGGTCACGTAAGTTATCCTTTTATTATTATGTGATTATTTAAAACACAAACATGTTACATTGTGGGTATTAGGAGATTTGCCTCACAAATGAAACCGAGTTGATGTCCGGGCGCCTATACCGAAGCAGTTGGTTGTCTTTTAAGGGACCACTCCCGAGCCTTCGACTTGAAGTCCGATCCATAAGACAGACAGTACAGCTACATTCCCATTGTTTCCGGTGACCAAAAGAGGTTCATACGCCATCCGATCTGTTTGGATTGTGGCGCCTATATATACACCATAAGTCTACAATAAGAGTTTTTCAGCTCCCCTAGGTAGACGTGGATGTCTACCAGTCCGGTCGTAAGCGCCAGACTTTCGAATTCTACCGTTCATTTTTGTCAGGAACACCCAGGTTGTATGAAGGCAGTGAATAAGACTTTTCTGGCAGAAGCTATGTACGCGTGGTGTCATAAGAATATTTCGAAAGGAACGAAGAACAATTCTGTTCTTGTAAAGTGCAAAATAAGAATAAAAAAGCTACTAAAAAATCTGTCTTTACATTTCGTCTTGTGAATGAAATGAAGTGACCAATTGTACAACTCCCTTCGTTGCATACTGAAAATCAGATGGCCAGAAGGGAGCACAGACCTATCGCTCGACAAATATGCTGATGGACATGGAGATCGATTGAACAAAACTGCTTAGCGATATCATGCCCCAGACCGTCGTGGGAAACCCGAACCGGGGTGGGTCCGAAGGTTACATGTATGGGGGGGGGTCGTGTGGGGAAGAAGTGGAAGCTCATGGGCGATTGTATAACCAGATAAAAAAAACGATTGAATAGGACCAGGGGGTATGGAGATATGTTGTTGATGCCCTATGTTTCACTTGGAACCAAAGGGAATATTAATAATATGCTAATAATTGTACCTGGTGACTAATTTCGAATCATATTGTGTATACCAAGCGTATTCTTCGTAAAAAAGTGATATTAAATGTTTGTGCGTCGGTGGCATAGCGGTTAGGACGCTCGCCGACCATTCACATGGTCCGGGGTTCGATCCCTGGCCGACGCACTTCTTTACCTCGCTAAGCCAGAAATAATGCTGGTAAAGAGGAAAGGTTGGGCATGAGGCTAGCAACCCCATCCTGTAAAATAAACACTGCTATAGAAACTTCAAGCCACTAGCTTGAGGCCCTATGTTCTACTGGGGAACGTGAAGGGAAAAAATTTTGGGAAGCATTAGATCTCATAGGTTTTATTTGGTGTAAATCATTTCCTTTGCTAACGTTATGTATGAGTTGACACTCTCAAACTTCACAACAACACAAGAACATTAAAGATCAGAAGTGAGATAATATTATAACCAATATAAAGTTACAATAAAGTACAGTAAAGATAAGTTAAAGTTACAGAATTCTGATTGGGATAAATAAATCGTCACTGGAGTTTGTGAACTACTTGTCTTTTGCGGAAGCTTTCCACCACACAGCTAAGTTTAACAATCAAAGTCTTCATCAAGTATTGGGATGTTTTTTTGAATAGCCTATAATCCCCCTTCAGAAGTGTTCTACTGTAGCATTCATTTTCTGTTGGTTTCTTGAGTATTTGTGACGAATGATTACTACACCCCTATGCAAGTTTACAGTTTCTTTGTGCTCCTAACCTCAATTTGTTTCACTGTATCGCTTTATCGCCCTTGAGCAACACTTTGGAAAAATACGATCCGAGATTTATAACTTGGTATCTTCAGCTTTTATCTATTACAACTATGAGATATTATCGATTGAGTGGCATCTGAAGCTATAATAAGAAAGTTTTCTAATTCATACATAATTTTGATCCCATTTACTGTTAAATATTATTAATTGTTAGTGAAGTTTTACGACATACTATTTACTTTTATGACTGTTCTTTTGTTGTTCATGAGGCCATTCCTATCAGAGTTCATTTTTGTAATATTAGGATCACGCTAATTTCCACATCGTTTTCCATTTTGATCTTTTAAACTGATTATTTCTTTTAAAATTTTAGTGCTAGCAGTGAACAATGTAGCGTTTTTGAATCTTCGTGTCCTGCATTGGTAAATACCACCGGTGGCTTAAACAGCGAAAAACATTCAAAGAATGACTTTTCACAAGATCATTTTCTAACTAATCAGAGGTCTAGTGACGAAACTACTTCTCAAAACTCTGATCCCAGTGGATGTACCAGTTTAGCTAGTAGTGCTAATGCTTTTGGCCGACATCTTGAAACAGCAGCATCTGTCAGTGGATCACACACACACAATAAAAATCTAGGTGATATACAACTGAATCAAAGCTTTTCTCACTTTACATCGGCTTCTGGTCCTTCAATCAATTCATCTTCACACATTTCTTCGTCTTCACCGCCAACTTCTCCAAAACATGATTTTTGTGATTCACCGAGTGGAAATATCAATGATCGTACTACACAATATGTGGCAAGTAGTTCAATGTCTCGTGGAATTGAAAAGCGTACTAGATTTTCTATTTCAGTCCTGCCTAGTAATTCAGGTAATGTATTTCCTTTTAATGTTATGTACTTGTCTCGTAGTTCTTCATTTCTTGACATTACTTATTACCATGACGCTTTTATCTTATTCGTAAACAGCTCATGAGTTCGATGATCACTCCTTTTAGGCGTTGTTCCTCATGAAATTCAGTGGAAGTTTATTTATTGTAGAGGGAAATAATACGCTATGCCATATGAGTTCGTAGTTAGATATTTACGTAGAAATAGTTTATTATTTCGACACTTAGATAACTATCAAGTGGTTAGGGCAATCGACACAAAGCTTTGGTCTTAAGTTCTTTGCTAGTTGGTACCTATCAGTAAGGCATATCTACAACCTCAAAGGGACTGGTGCCCCCCTCTGAGATTTGAACCCATGTTACCCAGTATTGGAGTCAGACACCTTACCACTGAGCTCTTCTAGTTCACGATTGACCTTCTGTGGGACGGTGATGTGCTCACAATGATTACTGTGAATGTGGCTCATTTGTTTAAACACTCAACTTTGTTTGATCCAATGAGTCCTTGATTCAAAGCCTGCACCACTAACTTCAGCTTGGGCAATTGACTAGTGTCACACTGTAAGTGTAGCTCATAGCCTGGAATACGATAAATCTCTTCTGATTGGTCACTACAGAATAACCAATGAGTTAAAATTGATTAACTGTTGAAAGCTGCAGTTTATTTATTTTGTCTTTCGACCGTCTGGTAATGAGGATAATAGGCGTGAAAGTCTCTACTCTAGTCTTTGTTTGGATATTTCAGAAGTGTCAATAATAATAGATGTCATAGCTGCTTTTCATATAGCCTAGTTAGCAAATGTGTATTTAGTCAATATCTTGTTGAGAAACTATTCATATGTACTTCAGATAAGTGTCTATTGTTATTTATATAATATATATTTCTTAATGAGCAGATATTTTCATTATTTAAGTATCACTGCATTATGCTACCGGTGTTGTCTGATTTAATAGTATATAATGCGATTCTCCTAGCAGTACAACCGCTGCACAACTACTGTTCTGTGCTGGTTGGATGACCAACAAATGTCAAGATCTTATCTTCAGTCTGTGGCACAGCAGTTAGGACGCTCGCTGACCATGCACATGGTCCGGGGTTCGATCCCCGGCCGATGCACACTTACTATCAATGATCGGCCTTCTAGATTTGGGCTACCGATACCACATGCTGAAAATCCCATACTTGTACCAAAAACACGGTGCGGAATCAGGCTTTTAATAAAAATGAACAGAATGGTGTCTGGACTAATCTGGCAGTAATTGTTCGCTTTTTCGAATTTAATTCATAGATGTCATCACTTGTGTCTCTGATATATACTGCAGTAACATTGTCATCCTACAGACAGTGTTTATTTGATTATAACCGCGTTCGCTAGAAATACTTAGAGAAAATATTCATTAGTTTAACCTTGGTTTTGATTGTGTCTTCACATGCTGCTCCTTCTTGTTTTCATTATTCACGTTCCAAATGAGACACAGTACTTCAAGTTATTATAAGCTTTAAAGTTGCAGTAGTGGTGATTATCTTATTGGGGTTGCTAGCTTTACTCAACCGTCATTCCCTTTGTGGGCCTACCATCGGTTAGGAAACTAGTCGAAGTTTAGCAGTAAGTCGGGGGAAATCGAACTCTGACCATAGGGGCTGGCTAACAAACATTCTACCATCAAAACCACCGGCACACATGTTATTCGTTCACTCATATCTAACACTGTCCTGATTACTACAACTATTTGCACCAGTCTATCTAACAAAATATCGACATATTAAGTCTATTAAAACTAGATTTGCGAAACACACCATCGAAAAGTACGAAACAGAAAGTCGTATGGTAGATACTATGAGCAAATTAATACCAAGTGTTGCGATACAACGAATATCTATCATAGAGTGATAACTACCTTCGTCTTTTCGTTCACATTTCATGTAAGCACTTTGACTTGACCATGATACAGCTAAAATAAGTGAAGTGGTTAACACGCTCTACTACGTCACTCCTGCGTATCTTCAGGCTGGGAGTCGATTTAGTCCAGTCCTGTAGCATCATATTCCGTTCTTCCAGGAGCAAATCGCATGCCAAACATTCGAAGAGGGCTGCCCAAGTTTTCCAGAAGACTGCATTTTATCGGTGTCTTCAATATAGAGGACCATTTCATTTGCATATTGTTAGTCAACGAGATTATTCCCTGGTGGTAACAGGTCAATCCCTGAGTGGCTGAAGTGAGAAATGAGGACATTTGTGAGCATCTCTGATGGACACTACTAGCTGTTACCACCTCAGATGACAACTCTTCGTGGGCTCTCACCTGGCTGACTAACTTCATGAGTGTGAGTAGAGTGCCTTGATCAGCACGATGTATTTTCTCGTCATTCCCTTTACAGCTAAGCATCGCCACAGTACCTCTTGGTCGACAGAATCGAATTCCGCTCTCAGGTCAAGAAATATAACAATTGTTGGTCGCCGACGGTAAGTATGCCTATGTTTCGGAATCTGTCGAAGGGTGAAGATATGATCAATACATTCTCTTCCTGATCTGAAACCCGTCTGGTTCTCTCGTGTTTGTTTCTCCTGTGGACCGTTTAGTCTACGCATGATTATTAATCCTAGAACTTGAGATACTATATCAGTCAAGCTGATCCCCCTGTGGTTATCACAGGAAGACTTGTCTCGCTTCTTGTATATCGGGGTAATCAACGACTTACACCAGTCTCACGGGAATAATAAATACGGATGAATATGCATATGGCAACCTAAAGTAATCCTGTCACTAAGAGCTTTTCGAGTTTAAGATGTACCTGTTTACTGTTAATACCTTAATCATATATCACTGGTTTAGATGAAATATCAAATATTTTATATGTGTATCAAATTTATCAACCACTATGTTATTACAGGTTAGGTGGAGCTGTGGCTCATCGATTTAGGCGCTTTACTTCCAACCACTGAGTCATTAGTTCGAACCTGGCTCCACCTACGGAGATTTGGTCAGCCAGGTAGTGTCACAAGCCACCACACAATAAGTGTAGCTCATTGCCGACTGCATGGAATGACAAAAGTAGTGATATAATATTTCTTATCCGAGACCGCATAGATTGTTCATCGGTGAGATACTTAGTGGCTTACTCTCAAACTATCTCACATAAGATTTTCTGAATTTTTTTCTTCCCCTTTGCAGAAGTACGAGAATTTGGAAATGCTCCATTTACACCCAACCATTCGTTTCTAATGCAGTCTAAAGTGCCACAAACGAGATATAGTAATAGTGAACCCACTGCTTCTTCATCAGTTGTCAGATGTAGTTCACTTGATCTATGTCAATCTGATTTAATCAACCGTTTAGATCGTTCATCAAATGAAACAACAAGTAAATGTGATCCTGTTGAAAAATCTCATTTAGGCTTTGTTTCTGAGATACCTGCATCAAGTACTCTAAAGCATAATCATAAAAAGTCAACAGTTCAACTTCGTTGTTCGTCTCTTACATCTTTGTGTGGAACTACTAGCAATACTTCACTGCCAATACATCGTCTACACCGACATTCAAGGAAGCTTGGTGCAAGCACTTCCAATCAGGATATTGAAGGTCCAGGTAAGTTCCTGGAATTCTATATATATATATATATATTTTTAAATGGAGCATTTTGCTGTCGCTGTTTAAAAATCCTTTGGTTTTACACACCATTTCCGTATATCAGGTAGTGGATGTTCTGATTCACTGTTGACCGGTAGTTTTTTGACACTCAGTTAGCTCGAAAGGTTATCAATATTTCGAGCCATATCACCAAATGTTTCTAGCCATTGGTTCTCACCATCCCTGGGACCCCAACCAGGTAGTCCACACTTCCCTACATGTGTCAAACTAACTGTAAAGCCTTCATGGACTGATGAAGCCATGTTTTGGTTTGAGCATCACTAGCTTTCCCTTTTCCAACCTGACCAGCTAACACTGACCGTCGAGGAAGGCGATCGGCGGCTGGATATGCGTAACACATGTCCTAGCTATGTCAATTAATATACCTTCACAACCTCGTCGATTGACTTCTTCTCCTTACCTAGTACTCGACCGAAGCCTAAGATCAATACGGCTCACCTCATTATACCACCTGACACGGTAGACAGAATACAGACACGTATGATTAAAGACTGTTAGTCGGTCTTTTCATTTCTTTACTTTCAATGGCCATATCCCAGATTCATAAAGGAGGACAGAGCGAACTGCTGAGCAGTACACACGCCCTTTGGTCGACAGTCGGCTGGATATCACGTCTACGTCAGAGATGGAATAAGTTGGTATATACCAAACAAGCCTTTTGTATCCGTGCTGAGATTTAGTCAACAAACAACCTGTTGGGATTGATGCACATAATTTTTATGTGGTCGCTGTATCGATTTTATTTTCACATGTATATCGAGGGTCCAGGTAAATATTCCGTTATAGCTAATCTTGCAACCATCAGTTTAATTGGACACGTTATTGATAGCTTATTTGATTTATATCAGGCTACAAACAGAGGACGACAGGAGGGTACTCAGTGTATCAAATTGTAATCCCTTATAAGTTGTTTTTTATCAGATAAGTGTGTGTTTGCTGTGGTATTAAATGGTGGTATTCATAATCAGTTCTATGATGACCACCACCAAGGACACAGTGAGAGAGATGAATTTAGAAAGATAAGATAATCTACTTACAAGAGATTTTTTAGTGTTTCTGAATAAGACTATGCAACATGTTAAATGCATCCAATCAATTTTCCTTACATTCGACTTAGTTTAATACCAAAGTTTGGTGTTACCATTTATCAATACAATACTTTTTTAATTGGATGACGAAATACGCTATTGAAATGTATTCACAGTACATAGTAGTATTTATTCTTCAAAATAATGTGTAGTTTCATATTTAAATAAAGTAATTGTAGCTAGTCTTATAGGATAGCAAAATAGCCTTTTTAATGTATAATACTTTCAATTTAATCAAGTCAAAATAAAGATATTTCTTAAATGAAAGGAACTGAAGTGATTTTACTTTTCAAAGTGCTTAAACAACATCCAATCGATATATCCGTTTTATGCTATCAATAATTCGTAGGCCTTTCAACAGGTGCTTGTAAATTTACAAATGTAGTGAAGTGAGCGGTTTATTTGTCTACATTTGAATGAGTTAGTTTAATGAGTATTTTATGTTTGTTGCATATTGGCAAAATCATTCTGACGTCGGAAAAAGTCTCTTCTTTATTTTTGAAAAAGTTGCCTTTCTGACACCTTTTTAAACTACTCATGAAATATTTTGTTTCCTGTGTTTTGTAAAGTGAAGAAATTTAGGTATTTTTTTTTTACGGCGGTTACTGGCATAGATGTCACCGTCTTCCGTTTCTCTTATTCAAGAGGAATTTCCTTGAGTAGTCGTGAATTTTTGCTCAATACTTTTTCAGTGTAACACTCTTGCTTTCTTGTAAAACATCTTGGCTTTAATTAGTGAGAGTGAGAACTATTCTTTTTCTTCTTGAATTATGGGATAGTCTATTTGCCTCTCCTGTAAACTGACTTTCTAATTCTGTCTTCCTTATTGTACTAAGAACTAGAATATGAAACTCATTATTACGTACGTAAGTTATTGTAAACCTGATGCTAAGGTGAACTGTAATACGTTGTTCAAATATCTGGAGTGCATGTCGCATATTTCTATAAACAAGATATTTGTTGTTAGCACACTTGTAATAATATATACTCTTTTCCTCTTCTGTGTGCGTCGATGGTGTAGCGGTAGAATGTTTGCCAACCGCCCACGTGGTTTAGGTTCCATCCCCGGTCGTCAAAGCAGTCTTAAATCTGTCTTAGCTGGTAGTAAATCCGGTAAAGAGGAGAGGTTGGGTGTGAGGCTATCAAACCTACCTGTAAAAATAAGACCCTCAAGTGCTGAACTTTAAAAATCAAGCTTGAAGGCCTATGTTCCACTCGGAATACAAAGAAGATAGAATAGGATGGATGATTTCATCATGAGCTGATATCAGTTAGAGAACCACTAGAAAACCTGGGAGTACTGGTTAGCTGTTTCGTCATAGTTTGGGACTCTTCATCAGTATGCACCCGCCGCCAGGGTTCGAACCCAGAATAGCCCTAGAATAAATTTTCGGCTTCCGCATCACTATTGTTATATTATTTTTCTCTGTACTTTGTCTGTTGTATTAAAACTTCAGAGTTTTTTATTCATTCACTGACTGACTGGTTTCATCGTAGAACTTTGCACCGATGTGCAGCAATTTGAGTCGCCACACTCAGTGTGCCACACAAAGCAAGAGAAGAAAGTAAAAAGAAGTGAAAAACAGAGATATGAAGCAAAAGGAATAGTAATATCGAAGAACAATACAGTTTTATTGGATATTGTAGGTCACAAGGAGTGGATGCATCTGCACCAGCCATTGAGGACAATTTTGAGCCATATCACCAATTGCACCCAGCCTTCATTGGTTTTTACCTACCCGATGACCCCAACCAGTCAGAAAGTCTACACCTCCCGACGTGGCTGACTGGCTCAAACTAACTGTTATGAATTTCATTGACGATGAAATCATGTTTTTGTTTCTCTTTTCCAACCTGATCCCATGTCCTATGTCAGCTAACACTGACAGTCGAGGAAGGCGATGGCTAGGCATGCATGCATAACATATATCCTAGCTATGTCAGTTGATATAGCTTCACAACCTCGTCGATTGACTTCCACTCCTTACCTAATACTCGACCGTAGCCTAACCTCAATATTGCTAACCTTGTTATACCACTTCACACGGGAGATAGAGCACAGAAACCTATATTCAAAGACAGGCAGCTTTATCATGTCTTCTACTTTCAGTTTCCATGTCTCGCTCACAGCCATAAAAGAGGACAGAGCGGACTGTTGAGCAGTACACACTCCCTTTGGTCAATATATATTTTATAAAAGTACTTATTACTTGATTGTATATTATGCTATTGTTTTATTTCTTCCTTGTAATATAGGTACTTCTAGCTTCTCTGTGGATAGTGCATCAAATGATAGCGATAGTGATAGTGGATTGATAGGAGCTGCAACCTCACAGCATAGTACTGCTTCATCTTCATGTCATTTTAACGCCTCCTTTTTACATTCATTTCAAAGTTCACATGATACAGCTGATGTTAGAGAAGTTGATGAACAATCCAGTTTGTTAACATGTTCATCATGTGGTGTACATCTAGGTGAAGATGTTATCCCTGATCCAATTCCAGAAAATTCAGAATCACAAGATGCTACACATGATATTAGTAGTGATCAAATCGGTACACAAGTTGATGAACAATCTAGTTATCCAAGAGATGAAGAAGATGCACTTTCTGATTTACCACTTTCATCAGCAAATATATCTGGTCGTGTAACACCTTTATCATTAACAAGTACAACATCTCGTGGTGGTCAATTAACTCATTCCAGTTTTCATGGAACAGAAAATAATTATCGTACTTCAGGAATGTACTCTCAGTCTGGTTTAATCTTACCTACTGGAACAACTTTACCACCGAATGTAGCTCATCTAGCAAGATGTGGTGGTGGTAGTAGTGGTCCAGGTGATTTTCCTTCAACACTTTTTCAACGACATTGTACACCAGATGTTACAGAAAAATTTAATAAATTCGATTTACCTCCGCCTCGATTGACAGAAAGTGAGTTATTTGAATTTTTATAATCATTACAGTATACCTTTTGCTTATTTAGTAGAAAATAAACTAATCACAGTTTTTGAAAAAGTGATTCTACAGGATAGATCACGAGCTGACTCAGCAGAGAACCATTGGAAAACCTGGGAGTACTGGACAGCTGTTTCGTTCTAGCTTGGGACCCTTCAGCGGTACTCACCCGCCGGGATTCAAACCAACGCCAGAGGCAAGCTCGTAGACCATTCAGCCACTGGGACCCGACGCAGTGGCCTATGAATTCCAACTTCTGCCAGTTCGTGATATATATTTAGCGCAACCGCCAGCTGGTATCACATGCGAGTAACTGTTCTCCTGTCTGACTTGGGGAATCTCGCCGGTTACAAATTAACTGTCCAATACTCCCTGGCTTTCCAATGGTTTTCTAACTGATGTCAGTACGTGATTAATCATGTAGCCAATCAAATCTCTGCAAATCAACACTTAATAATTTTGCTGTGGAGCAATTGTTACAAACGGTTATAGTTAATTAAATGTTATATTGAATTCCAGCCTATATTAGGCACCTATTTTTAACTTTTAAGTTCAATTTGGATGGCTTGAAAGTTAGATGTTAGCTAAAGTTAGCTTAAATGGCTTGATATGAGGGTGATGGTGTTGTACAGTGATTATGGAGTGAAATCCTCATTCTCGTATTCTTTGATTTGAAGTGATCCTGTTATCTATTTTAATAAGTGAAATTTATCTCCCAAGTGTTCTGTCAAGTTCGTGATGCATGTGCATCTCAGTGTCCTGGTCACAATTTGTGATCTGGTTGATACCATAAATAGCAGTCGACGAAACAGACATAAATCCATGGTAATAATAATGAAGCTTTATCTAAGACATTATGCGAACATATGGTACAAAATTTTTCAGCTTATGTAGTTCCAAAGTACTTTTTTCTTCATAAAAAATTTAAATATAAAGTAATAATCTGAAGTATATCTTCACTGTGTTGAAGAATTGTACAGCATTTACTTGGAAACAAGTTAAATCAGCGTGCAAGGTCATTTGATATAACTGGATGATTAAAACATTTATAAATCCAAATGAAACTAAGCATTTTGGTGGGAAGTCATTTTGGTATGCCAATGATTTAAGTAGGCTGCCTTAAGCCATTCTCTTCTTTTTATTCAACGTTCATAGAACAACAATGGTCTCGCAGCAGCCCACGAACAGTAATAGTACGAATTTACCATATACTACTGATTGATGGACATGAATAGTCAGATACCACTTACATCAACCAGTCAAGTTGGGTACACAGCTGATGAGCTCATCCCCAAACGGGTGAAATAGCCGTCTGGTGTTAATATCATTCCTGTCTGGCTAGGAAGCACTACTGGCTAGTGTAGGTGGTATGTAACAACTACTCATCAGTTTATCAGTAGCAAAATCAGTAGTAAAATGAAACTGTCCATAGGTATTGTATGCACCTAATGATCCAGCGATTATTACAGGTAACTTTTGTATCTTTCTTGTTAACAAATCGTCAGTAGTCATTACGCGTTGTACAAGTCGTTCAGAATGACGCATTAATTCTACAGTTTCTGTTCTGGTAATATTTAAAGGTAGCAGTTAATGTTTCTGGTGAAGCATAAAATATATTCATTGAAATGAAATCACATCCTGTTTGTAAGAAGCTTGAATTGCATAAAATGACTAAAAGAAAAGTTGAATAGATGCACATCATTTCATAATTAATTGTTAGTTTTTAAATTAATATCAAAACAAGTGATTCAGCGAAGAAAACTCTTTTCAACGGATTTATCACATAGTCCTGATACTGTTGAAGAAGAGTTAAATCTTTTGTGAAAAACTAATAAAAATTGGATTTCCATCATGTTTTATAAACAAGAATATTGTCAAAACTTATGAAATGTGTCTTATCATCCGCACGCAAAAAAGTACTGTACATGAGCTTAGAATTCAAAGGGGACTTAGCTTCCGATATCATCAGAAGAAAAATCTCACAGTCCCTGAAAAGGACATTCGTTACAGCGTCGCTGAGAATAGCGTCTTCCAGTCAACCATTATTGTTCAATAACCTGAAGGACAAAATCCCTCAGTTGTCCAACTCTGTGGGCATTTATCAATTCACTTGCTTGTGTGGAGCTAGGTATATCGGTCGTTGGACTCGTGTTTTGTCCAAGGGGGGGGGGGTCAAGAACACTATCCTGTATGGATGCGAAGATGTGGAAAGGGAGCGATAAGAATCGCGATCACTGAACATCTGGTTGAAAGTGATCACCCTATCTCTCTATAGCCTCTGCCTTCAAAGTCATCTACAAGGCAAAAAGTAATTTGCCCGAATCGCTACATACCCAACTCATCTGTATTGCTGAAGCTTTGGCTATCGAAACAGAAAAGTCAGATCTCTGTATACAGAAAAAGCCCATTCAACCCCTCCAACTTCCATGGTCTTAATCCCTCTATGCTAAAGTATGGTAGTCCCTAGTCATATTTTGGCTCTACCAATTTTTTCGTTTTGTTTATTCATTTTGTATACTCTTCCTTTATTACGTCAATTGTTACTATTACTATTCTCACTTTGAACTGTCCCCGGTATTTATTTCGTTCCATTCTAAATCAGTTCTGTTTTGCAACTTTAAATTCTATGTTATCAAATTTCACACAGTGTTACGTAACGCTTTTATTTCATTCTATTTGAAACAATTAGTTCCCTTTATGAATTTAGACAAAGCATTAAGAAGACGTTAATTGTCTGAATCGTGTAATGTATTTGCGCAACACATCTCTAACAATCTAATCACACACAGATTTGTCATAGGATTAATAAAGAGTAAAGAGGTGAGAAAATATATTTAGGTCAAGTTAAAAAGACATATTGAAAATCGAAATAACAATGAAGATCACCAAACCAAATAACGGAGGCAATAGTGCAACGACAAGAAGACAAGAGTCAGACAACATATCGTTTATTGAGAAAATCAACAATTATTTATAAATTTTAATGCATATTATTATTCGTTATTATTAGCAGAGAAGCAGCGTCTTCTGATTGGTTGTTTTCTCACTGAAAGTTAATCTGTCATCTCTTTGTGGCTGTTTCTTTGATAGTCAGATCATCTATCCGCGATTCGTATCCACCCACGCAAAGTCTGCTGTGATTGTGTGTTGAGTTAGTCTTTGTTCTTGTTTTTTTCCTCATGACCAAGATTTGGGACGTGAACATTGCCGTAAATTGCTATCTAATACTTTTGGCTAGCAGACAGCTCTCACTACAATAGTACGTCTGCTATGGTATCAAAACAAAGTTTACCAAGGAAGGTTTAGTGTAATGACGATGTGTAAACATCAGTTTTATTTCTTGTCTATCATATGTTTCTTAATAGAAGAGCTAGGTCTCCCGTTCTCACCGTTAATGGGTTCTGGGGATTCTATGTGCTTCAGGAACCATTTAGGAATATGCATACATTACACATAGAAAATCCCAATGCAGTTAATCTGAATAGAAATCCATCAGCATCTATTGTAAAGCACTTACTAATGTCAGGTCACAAAATCAGTATTAATGACCGCTTCACAACTATTTCACATGACTCTAATTCAAGGTTATTAAAGGTGATGGGAGCACTTTGGATGAATCACATATAGCCTATGTACTCAAAATACTATAGACTTCAACTATCAGCTACCATGGCCTACTTGACCTATTTAAATGTGATTGGTCTTTAGTATGTACTTTTGTTTTATATAACTAAATAATTGTCACGCGTTTTATTTTATTATTGTGAACCATGCTAGTTGTAAAGCGATTGTAGAGCAACTACGATATGATTTCATCTCGCGAAATTTATCTTCTAAATATCGTATTCAACCTTATTAAAGGGACTTATTGTCTTAACATACTACTTTGTGTTAGTCACTCACTCACCTGACACTTTTTATAACCTTCAACTGACTTGTCAATTTTTTCTACCCTATATTCTACGAATCTATTATGACTAATCACCAACACCTTTGCCTTCCATTTAACAATAGTTTGTGATTTGATCCGGTCTAGCACGTTTGTCACACGAATTCTACATATTTTGTCACATTACAACTACTAATCTTGTTATTCTACGGTAAAAATGTATCAACCGCATAACTGGCCATTATTGTAACAATAAAAAATGCATTATATTTTATAATTGTACGAACCTGTAGAGAAATGATACTTTCTGTTCCTAAAGTTTTGTGTGTTTAGGTCAAATAAACAGTGGGAAATTATCTAGAGTTAATTATTGGCATAAACTGTAATATTAATATGTGTGTTTTAAGACTAGGATCAGCCTCCAATGCCATCTAACTTATGAATGTGCAATGAATCTAAATTTTTTTTAAACAGTTTGGATATATACATGTATATATGGTGCAGTCATAAGCTGGAAACTGGAACGTGATTTCCATTAATGCATATTGCTGGCGTCGCTTGAGAAACGATGCCATAAGGTATGCATTCAGCTGAGTAAACATAAATGCACTGATTTGACTTTTAGGAAAAGAGTAATGAAGGATCTCGGAAACAACTCCGTATGTACTCCTTGTCATGTCTTTCGTATCTCTATCTAGCCAAAATATGTATACCTTATCTTCAACGAACCATTTGCGCGGATCTTCGTGTTGTGGCACTTCTTAACTTAGTCTTGCGCTTTTTTGTGTTCACGTCTCTCATGTATCTCCACAACTCTGTATCATCATTTGCCTTCTCTGAAATCAAATGTATCTCCCAGCTATTTGATTAATTTTTTTCCTATGAACATCTCTTTGTATACCACTGATAAATCGCCACAGCAGTATCGCATTCTCAATCAATTCAACTGTCTATTCCTGTTATGGTTAAAATTTATCATTGAAGTGTGCGCTATGGACACGGATATGCATAGTGGCAGACTGCAGTTAGTTTGATATTAATAATCATTCCACACAAATGTAGGATCAAGGCCTCCTACCGGATGACT